GGTACCTGAAAGATGGCCATCCATACTGGGTACCTGGTACCTGAAAGATGGCTATCAATCTGGATGAGTCAGTGATGCTTTCTGAGACTCTCCTAAATATTCTGGCACATTTTCTAGGCCTGAGGATAAGAGGTGAGCATTTGTGTTGGTAACTTCCCAGAGGACTGATATCACAGAACTTTGCAGCCTACATTATGAATTTGAGGCCCACTTTTATAAGAACTTAGAGAATTTGTTAAGATGAGTAGAGTCATTTCTTAAGTTTGAATTGAGAACAGATCAGAAATCAACAGCTTACATTTTCTGAACCATTCAAAGTAAAAACATTCTCCTGGCATGATGGTGCATACTCGTGATCCCAGTGACTCAGGAGGTAGAAGCAGGGGAATCTCAAGTTTGAGGCCAACCTAGAAAATTTAGCAAACGCTGTCTCCAAATAAAATTAAAGGAAGAAAGGACTGGGAATGTAGATCAGTAGCATAGCATTTGCCTATCATGTTCAAGGTCCCAGGATCAATCCCCAGCAAGTAAGGATAAAATAAAATAAGTCACAATAAACAAATGAACAAGTAAAATTGAGCTTCTCTAGAAAACCCAAACAACCCCCTTTAGACTGCTGAAATCCCTTTCTTATTTCAAAGAAATCAATCTTTTACTAAGTTCCTGGATGGTTATGAGCATTTTTTTTTTTTTTGGATGGTGGTGGTGGTGGCGGGTACTAGAAATTGAACCCAGAGATGCTTTATCACTGAACTACATCCCTGGTCCTTTTTACTTTTTGTTTTGAGATAGAGTCTTGCCAAGTTGTTGAGGCTGGCCTCAAACTTGCAATCCTCCTGCCTCTGCCTCCTGAGTTGCTGGGATGACAGGTGTGTGCCACTATGCCTGGTTCATGAGCCTTTTTTTCTTCTACTGTCGTTTTGAATCACATGACTAGATTAGAAATTCTCTCTAGTCAAACTTTATTCCATTTAACGATGATGATGATGATGCAACCCTGTTTGGAAAATAAACAAGTTTTGTGTGAGACTCAGGTTACATAACTTGCACCTAGTCTCAAAGTATTTAAACCCAGTTCTAAGGGACTCCAAAGTTCAGTGCTATGGTCTGAGTGTTTATGCACCCCATGTATTCATATAAAACACTAACACCCAAAGTGATGTTATTAGGAGGTGGGGCTTTGGGGTGATTAGGTCACAGGGCTAAACACACATGTTTGGGGTCTCTTATAAGAGACCCAAGCAAGCAGTCTTGGGTGGAGTCTTTCAGTGGAGGCTTTATATCACTGAAATTCAGGGTGAATCTTTGTTTCTGAGGTTTTTACCTTGTGAGGACACAACTGGAAAGCACCATCTCTAAACTGAAAAGTGTGTCCTCAGCAGACAGTGGACCTTCTGGCACCTCTATCTTGGACTTTTCAGCCTCTAGAACCAAGAACAATAGATCTCTGTTGTGTAAAAGGAGCCAGTCTTCGGTCTCCTGTCATAACAGGTGGAGCCCACTAAGATGGCAAGCTCCCTCTCCAACCCTTGCTGACCCCAAGAAGCTTCCCTAAGATGAGGTTGTTAAGTGGTTGAGATTTTCAGCTTACTAATTTTGAAGGTAGACTTGATTTTTAAAAATAGCACGCAAAATCCTTTTTAATTTTTTTTTTTATAGTTGCAGACGGACAGCATGCCTTTATTTTATTTGTTTATTTTTCTGTGGTACTAGGGATTGAACCCAGTGCCTCCCACATGCTAGGCCAGGGCTCTGTCACCAAGCGACAGCATCAGCCCCGGCAAGCAAAATCTTAACAAAATGCTGATAAATGAAGTGATGCTTTAAGTTATTCTGAATGTATTTGACATGAATGAATTTGTCTTCTTTTACAAGGAAAAGCACAGGATTGAATTGCAGAGTCGACTGTTGATGGCACGTACTCTTGGAGGATGCTCTTTGGAACTTGTTTTTTTAACCATGTGGCTGTTGATTAAAGCACACGTTGGTAAGATACGTCTAGAAGTTTCTATTTGGAAAGATTTGTGTTTTAAATTCTCAGTCACAGATGACCTGCGTGTTTATTGTAAATGTACTGGTAACGGTCTTTTATAAGTCAGTCTTTTGTCATTTAAATGGATAAGTCTGATTCTGTGTTATATATAAGCAGTATATATTTTATTCGATTTATTCCAATGATGAATGGAAGAGTCCAATCATATCATTTTCTTTTTAAAAAGTAGTTAGGTAACCCGGCTAGGAAACTCAACTGGTCTTCCTATATTTATGATTTACTTTACAGTATATTTTAACAGAGGGGATTTATGGATAAATTAGTTATGCTGAAAAAAATGGCTGACATTTTCTCTGCTTTTTTAATAAGAGTTTATTTTCAGCTTTCTGGCATATTAGAATCAAAGAAGATCAAAGAAACCAAGACCAAACATACAAATAAGATTTAAGAAAAAGAGAGACTCTATTTTAGCTTTGCAAATAAAAATAAAAAGAATTTTCAGTATTTTCTTTACTTGATTTAAATAAGTTCTTGCTGGGGTTGTGGCTCAGTGGTAGAGCACTTGCCTAGCATGCATGAGGCACTGGATTCGATTCCCAGCACCACATAAAAAACTAAATAAACAAAATAAACGTATTGTGTCCATCTACAATTAAAACTATTTTTTAAAAAAAGTTCTTTACCAGTTCCTATTTATGGTAGTTGACCCAAGCATTCTTACAATTACTTAAAAAAAAAAAAGACAATTTTCAATGGAGGCTTTATATCATCCCTGAAAATTCAGAGTGAATCTTTGTTTCTGAGGTTTTTAAATTGAACCTTGTCAATGATAAGCCTCTTGAGGAAAGCAAATAACCTCCATGTTTTAATAAGCATTTAATGTGGCATCTGGAATGTAGTAAACAGTATGGAGAACTCTGTTAAGAAGAGGAATGCATTCATGAAGTTTATATTAGCTATTTCAGGTAAAAGTTCATCCACTCCAGGGTCTTACATCTTGAAGAAATATCAAAATATAGCATGGTAACACTCACTTTCCATCTTTGATGCCAACTCCTAACACACCAGAGCCTTTGAATGTTTTCTCTTTGTTATAAAATAATGTTGCAGATTACACATATTTTATACCACAAATATAGCAAGAGAAGAATTATTCCTAAATATGACCCTAAAGTTTGCAATAGTCTTTTAAACCTGTCTTTTTTCTCTCTCTCAGTATGAGTATTGAAGTAAGCATTATAAATCACAAATAGTGATGAAAACAAATGCAATTTATTCTGGGAAGCCTTCTTTAGTAATCTGAAATTTTTACATGCACGAGATGCTGGGTTTTCCTGGAACTGTGTTCCTGAATGTTCTTCCAATTCTACTTTCTCACCATCCTCCTATTTGTAGTTTTGATTATAGTATTGCTGTTTTGAGAAGGATGAATGTTTTAATTTAAATACAGTTAGACTTTAATATGGTTGCTTTCTGCTCTCTTGTGCATCACCAATACTGCTAGAGTGATATAGTTTATTTATATTCCTGTAATCTGTTAGGTTTAATTTTATCCTGCTTTTGGGATTGCAGCAACCCTCCATTTTGAAATGGGCCTGTTATTGTCAATCAAGTATTGCTTTTGTATCTTATTGCAGATGTGTGCACGAAAGGAGATGTTACTGTGAAGCCCTCTGATATAATTTCACATGGATCAACTGTCAATATTTCATGTTCCTTGAAACCCAAACAAGATTGTTTACCCTCTTCCAGATTGAACACATTGGTCCTCTACAAGATAGACAAAAAGATTGGTCACTACCCAGGTCGCTCCATCAGTATTCAAGTCTCAGATCTTTCCCTTGGTTCAACCTTGTTTCGCTGCAGACTTGCCTGTGGGAGAAGTTATGAGACTCCAGTATGTGGGGCAGAGATCCTTGTTGGTGGTGAGCATTCCTTTCTGAGTTCCTAAAAATAGGTGATCTTTTGGTGTATGTCATGTGTTAAGCAGAATCCCAACACAGGAAAGAATTCTTTCTTCTCTGAAATATTTTATCTTGATGCCAATATAAACATCTTGATGTGAGAAGTCTAGAAATCAGTAGATTCAGGGGTCTTATTTGATAAGATGCTCCTTCTCTGTCTTTTCCTCCTCCTTTTTTCTTACTTTCCCTTCCTATCTACCTCTCCCTCTTTCTCTCCTCTGTGTCTGACCATTAAGACCATTTATTTACCTATAGTCCTTAGACTCTAATGGTAGGAAAATGGATTTCTGCAGTTGGGTCTTCGTGCCTTCTTGACTTATGAACATTTGCTCAAAGCTGCAACCTCCAAAATACAGGAAAGATGTATCTGGTTCACCTTAGCAACTCAGGTGGATGACACATGGCGTAGCACCTCTTCCCTCTTCATTTAGTACCTACAACGTGGTCCTTCCATCCATGCTCACCCCTGACACTGGTCATTGTACTTATCAGAGGTTAAAAGAAAACCATGATCATACTTACAACCTTTTACTGGAATCTCTAGAAAATTGCCTGAAGCAAATCTGACATGCTAACACTTCAAAGGGGAAGGGGAGTTTTTCAGTCTCAGGTAGGCAAGAATGAGGAACAGAGCCAGAAAATGAGTAAAAGCAAATACTATTTATGTGTCACTTAACAATGGGGATAATTCTGAGAAATCGGTCATTTGTTGATTTCATCATTAAGCCAATATATATAGTCACATAGAGTAAGATGGGTACAAACAACATCATTAGGCAATACAATCTCATGGATCACTATCATATATGTGGCCCACCATTAATCAAAATATCATTGTGCAGTGGTGCATAAGGGCACAAGGTAGTGATATTCCTGAACTGGCCATAGCTTCAACAGAAAATACATCTGGTTGTGGTCACTTAGGGACATCACCAGAAAGTGCATATGGAAATACAGTGACAAGGGAAAGAAAGAAGAAATTAACTGTCTCCGATTGGTCTAAGTTTACCTCATAGGACATCAACTCCCCTGCACTTCTGGCTCTCATTGCTTTCCTCCAGGAAGCTGCTGAGAGGAAAGAACTGAGATGTGACAGCTGGCATCTGCTGCATGAGTTACAGGCACAGGGTGAGCCAGCAAACACTTAGCTGCAGTTTGCAGCTACTCAGGTCCAGTGGGGAAAGCTAGTGAGTATGCATGGACTTTGAATGATTCCATGGCACTTGTGCCTCAGGGATTTCAGGGAAGCTCTGGAGTGGCAGGTGAGAGGCATGAGACTAGGAATTGCTGTAGCAGGCTGGATGACCCAGCTTGAGGGACATGGCCCATGTCATAAAGGCAGTGATACAGAGCTCAGTGAGATTTCCCATAAAGGTGGAAACCTCTTCTCTGTGACCTATGAGGATATGATTGCTGCCAGGCAATTTCCTGGAGAGCCATCAGAAGCCTTGAGCAGATGACCAAGCAAATGGCCAGGCAGATCTCTGGTGGAGAGGAGGCATAAACTAAGTTCAGTACTTCTCTTCCAGTTCGGGACCACCTGTTCAAAACATATATGTATTGACCATGTGTTCTCACCATTGACAGTCTGCAGTAGAAGGTCCATCTGTGGGCTTTGAATCCCAGCCCTACTATGAACCATGCACCGCTACACAACTTAAATTCCATGAGTCTCAGTTCCTCTATCTGTGTTATAAAGATAATAATGCTTACTTTGTAGGATGGTTGCAGTGATTGTATGACCCTTATATGCAAAGTGCTTACTCCAATGCCAGGCACATAAAGGCACTTAAGTGACTTGCACTAGGGTCACAGTTCCATCCAGTTGCACTCTTCTTCTTCATGCATGCATCATGCTGGGTAGCTGTGCATTGACCATAGATGAAATTATATCTTTTCTCAAAAAACACCCTTGGAACCAGGCGTGGTGGTGCACGCCTGTAATCCCAACAACTTGGGAGGCTGAGGCAGGAGGATCGACAGTTCAAAGTCAGCCTCACCAACTTAGCAAGGCCTTAGCAACTCAGTGAGACCTTGTCTCTAGTAAAATATTAAAAAGGGCTGGGGATGTGGCCCAGTGGTTAAGCACCCTTGGGTTCAAACCTCCATACCAACAAAAAAAAACAAAAACCACCATTGGAGGATTAAGGTGTCACTCAGTGATAGAGCCCTTCTCTAGCAGGCATAAGGCCCTGGGTTCAATCACCAACACTGGAGGGAAAAAAAAATAAAAGGAAAAGAAAAAACCATTGTTTCTTACCTCCCTTCCCTCAGAGCATCTGTCACACAAATAACTCATCATCTTACCAGATAGAGTTGCATATTTGCATTAGATGTTCTCAGCCCTGCAATATCAATTCCAGATGTCTACAGTAGTACTGGCATTTTCTTCTTTTTTGTAGACCTACAACAACTCTGACAGTACCTTTCGGATGTACTTAGCGATTTCATTCCACTTCATAGCTGTGCTCTCATAGATTAGAGTGCTGCAAACCTTTTTCATGTTTTACTTTTCCAGCCAGTGTATGGGAACATATGTATGTGACAGTTTGCAGCATCAGAAGGTCTAGGGAGGTGGTAAAGAGTATCTCTCATGGTTCAGTTAAGTTTGGTGGTGCTGCCGAATGTTGCTTGTGCAATGCTCAAGTGTAAACCACACAATCAAATGGCTGCTCTTTGGGCAAGTTTAGCACTTTTGAGAAGAAGGATTGACTGGAAGTGACACCTTACTCTGGGTATGCAAGTCATTCCAAGAAAAGACACAGTGAATTTTGGTTTCACTCAATATAGTCAGCTCATGCTATCTGGTGAGGGAGTAAGCAGCCTATTTTCTTTTTGTGGTAAGGGGTAGGCCATTGTATGTTGCATATCCTCAGGGGTCTATCATCAGGTTTTTCAGAACTAGGAATAGGCAAACCGTCTTTAAGCATTTTCTTCCCAGTTCTTTCTCATGCTTTGGCTTCTCTACTGCCCAGGATTCATTCAAATTGTGTAGAAACTAAGCAATCAGTGAACAAGCTTAACCTCAGAAGATTGAACTTAGAAAATGAAGATAATAAATAAAAGACCATGGGTTCTTGCTTTGTCTGTTGATATTTCTGAAAGCTGTTTTTTCTAAAACTTTGTTTCCCATATGAAGTAGGGTTTTAAAAAATAATAATTACCCTAAACTTCATGACATCGTCTTCTATGGTGAGTTCTACTGTAAGTTCATGGGAGTTCAGAGACTTTGATGGCTGCTTTTTCCTTGGCATCAGTTATTATATATTTATATCAAGGAGAATTTTGTCCAGTTTCCCCTGGAAAGACAGTCCTGGGCTAAGGGACATTTTTGATTACATAATCCACTGAACTCACATTGGAAATGTTGACTTACTCTATGGGTGAAAGTCGTTGTCTTTAAGATGAGTTTCCTCTTTTATAGGAAGGGTAGGAGTTGATTATTTATTACGTAAAGTGCCACGTTCTTTATCTTACTGGCTCACCAAAAGACTCGAGGTCTTTAAGGGCAAAAATGGCAACTGGACACAAGTATTTGCTTTCTCTTCCCCTGAAATAAAGCCAAGATGCTATTAAGTTTTCCAATAGCACATCTCCTCAAGGTCAAAAAGGATGGGAGGGGAGACACACCAAAACTAAAATTTTGAAGTTGGAAAGGAGATGGACCAATGATAACAATTAGCCTACAGGTAACCAGGAGAAAATTTGTAAAATTTGCAGACACCATTTTCGGGGAAAGACTCAGAAATTGACACCATGTACTTTTGGAAGGGAAAGTAAAAGTAGGGTTAAAAATAGAAGATTTGACTGTAAATCTATTTGAAAAGTGCTTTGGGTACCAGAGTCCTTCCCAGCTTCATGCAGCCAGATAGGTGCTGCTTGCAGCACTGGAGCCTGGAGGCTGGGGTTGGCGGGGGTGGCTGCTGGATTAAAAGACTCAGCCTGAAAAGCACATCAATGAAAGGCATATTGGCATACAGCTTTCTTCAAGCCTGAACCCTCCTTCAGACAGATTTAAAAATCTTTTTTCCTAGGAAATCTGACCAGGCCAAGAGAAAATGCCTGAAAACATTGACAACAAAGTTTCTTCCCCTAAATCCAGTGAAACCCAGAGTCATCAAATTCCCCCTCTGAACACAGAGCTGCAATCTACAATGCAGTGTCCCACTCATGTATGTGGGCAAAAATACCAGGATCGGAGGAAGACATCTAACAAGGACAGAAACCAAAACAAACTTATGGAACAAAGCATAAAAAAAGAGGAAGAGATAGCATGTAATCAGAAGTGGTAAAAACTATCCTTAATATCCCTAGCAAATTAAGAGAGAATATTGTGTACAAAACAAAGACAGGATGCTATAAGAAGGAAATATACAGAAAACGCTCCCCTAAAATTAAAAAAAAAAAAAGATAAGCAGCAAGGAAACCCTTTGAGGTTGTCTCTTCCTAGATAGTAGAACAAAAAGATCAAGAGATAAAATATAAAATAAGAAAACGTAACTTATGAAAATTATAGACTTTACTTTCCGAAAGAGAAAGAGAGGAAGGAATCATCAGAAAAATAGTGCAGGAAAGTTTCCCAAACTGAAAGAGAAGAGTTCCCAGAATGTATGAACCCTTTGAGAATCAATCAAGAAGGATGTATGAAAATAGATCCCCAGTAAGTGCATCCTTGTGAAAATCCAGCATAATAGAGCCAAAAAGAAGACTCTATACTTTCCAAAGAGGAAAAATAGACTCTATACAATATCAGAAATGACTCAAGGCCACAGAGAACAGCAGCAAACTGGAACATGGAAGAAAATAAAGCCCTGCCATCAGAGTACTGAGTGATAATTTCCTTTCAACTTAGAATCCTCCATCAGGCCAAAGCAGCAGTCTACCTGAAGACAGAATGAAAACATTTTAAACCACGCTCAAACTATTTCCTTCCACACACCCTTTTTTAGAAAACTGTCGGAGGACACACTCCACCAACACAAGTAATTAGGTCAAGAAAGAAGAAGGCATAGAAGTCCCAATGCATCTGAATATTTGAAGTGATTCAGATAACTGGCCCGAGAGTTGTATTAATAAGGAAACAAATAGAAAAACAAGATAATGAATTACTAATTCCAAGGCAAAAAGTTAATAGTATTCCAAATGGCTCAGACATGAGTAATGTGTATAGATGTATGTGTACATTGTATATATAAACACATACTGTATATTCATGAATATATACATATTTATTTATTTATTTATTTTTATAATTTTTTTTGAGAGAGAGAGAGAGAGAGAGAGAATTTTCTTTAATATTTTTTTTTAGTTTTCGGCGGACACAACATTTTCATTTGTTTGTGGTGCTGAGGATCGAACCCCGGGCCGCACGCATGCCAGACGAGCACGCTACCACTTGAGCCACATCCCCAGCCCATGAATATATATTTATGTAGTATATACACATATCTGTATACATAATATTTACATTTATGTGTCTAGGTATACACATAAGCATAAACATATATATTTATATTTTATATACAAGCATACATTTTTATATACACTGAATGCGTGTATATATATAATACGTATGCATATATATAAGAAAAAGTCTGTTATTTTAGGAAAAGAGTTTTTTATTTTAGTAAATAAAGCTATATGCCCCTTTAAAACAAAACTGAAGCCCTGAGATGGTAACTTGTCCAAGGTCACATGGACATTACTGTGCCATGTCTTTGGGTGCTAGGGACAAAAATGATGTTTATTTCATCAATCACATCTTTTGAAGAGGCAGGCACTATCTAGGGCTTCCATAGTATGCTTCTTTTATCTCTCCCAAAAGAACATCTATCTACATGTGGGTCTCAGTAATTAGGGAAGAGTGGGATGATGGGGTAAAGTGTTTTCTCTTACCTCCATTGAGTCTGAGAAGCTCCAATTTTGAGTCCTATCTTTGACTAGAAAATGACTTCATTTAAAAATACCTTCCTTGCAGTAGAAGGAACCATGCTTGTCTTATACACCTTTGTATTTTCACAGCTAACATTGTGCCTGGCCCGTGGAAGGTCCTCAGAGAGAATCTTTTATGTACATAAAGAATTAATTTGTAAATGTACATAAAGTGCTTCAAGCAATGTAGTGCAGAAATTAGATACGGGTAGTGTATCATGACTAGTGCAAGTGGGTAGAGGTCTTTGCAACCAGTTTCATGTTAGTGGAGAAAGATAGTCCTAATTTTCATAGGTTTCTAATATTGAATCCGCACCACTCTAGTAATATTAGCTTATCATCACCAGGAGAAGTACAGCTGGAAGTGGATGTTCACCTGTTAAGCAAAATGGTGGAACCTGGGATAAAAGGCTTGGACATGTCCGCCACCACTGGGCTAGAGCCCTGATCCTGCCATTTCATGATTTTTTTTTAAGAGAGAGAGAGAGAACACACTTTTTAGTATTTATTTTTTAGTTTTCGGTGGACACAACATCTTTATATGGTGCTGAGGATGGAACCCAGCGCCCCACGCTTGCCAGGCGAGCACACTACCACTTGAGCCATATCTCCAGCCCCCATTTCATAATTTTGCTGACTTGAGCCAGATAGTCCACCTAAGTCTTAGTTTCCTCTTTTATAAAATGAGGATGGTAATATTCAGATGGGGTAGATTTGAACTTGACAGAAACCGGCTTTATCTGGATTTGTGAGACTTGGGGGAGATATTATCATCTTGTTGGCAAATAATAGCATTGTGATTGATATTTCAAATATGATGTCTTAACTCTTTCTTTCCTTTCTTTCTTTTTTTTTTTTTTTTTGTTTAAAGTTGCTCCAGAGCGGCCTCAAAACTTAACTTGTACACAGAAGGGAGAACATGGGACTGTGGCCTGTACCTGGGAGAAAGGACAAGAGACTTACATATATACTAAGTTCACTTTACAGTGAGTGAGATTGTGGTTTTTGTTGCTGTTTGTTTGTTTGTTTTTGCCACCTGCATGGGGGTGATGCTCTACCACTGAGCTACATCTCCATCTCATGACTGCTCTTGCAGTGGTTTTGTAGGTCCTCTCTTAGATGACATTTAGCAACATCACCAGTTTTATGATATTGCCAGGAGAAGCAGCAACAGATACCTCAAGACAATTAAATGCTCAAAAATAAAATTCTATCATTCATCAATTAAAATTGTTGCAAACATCTTGTTTGCAACCTAACATCTTGGGTCTGAATTCTAACTCAGAGGTTTTGTTAGGGAACCCAAGGCCAAGTTAGGGGTGTACTTCCTGCTCAAATATGGTTAGACTGACTATAAAATACCTTTCTTCTCCTTTGGAGTCACAGACTCTTAGGGCCATGATGTATAAATAGACACTTCCTTTTGGTAGCTTCTCATTATCTTAGAGGAATTTCTTTTTAAAGCAGAATTGGCTGATGTGAGAGAGTCCACAAAAGAAGAGAGGCTGAGGAGATTCCATTTTTTGGAGTAGGTTCCATATTCCTTTCCAAGACCCATTTGGTCTGCACTGTGCCTGAGTGAGTTGGAGATGAGGAAAGACAGTGGGGCCAGGTCTCTGGTCTGTCCACTGCTCTGCTGGGAGCTGTCACTTTTGTGCAGTCTATGCTGAGGTGACCACAGATCCTTTGGATGATGGTTGTAACTGCTTGGGGGGAACCAAGATGATGGCTAGGGTTTGGGGAATTCTGGCAGTGTAGACACATACACTCATCTACATAAATATCCAGAAAGGGAAAAAAAAAGTTTTACCAATGAAGAGAGAAAACAGAAATGTGGGAATAGAACATAAATATTCCTATAGTGTATACCCTAACAATAAGACTGACCTGAAAAGATTGTCTAAAATTTTGTATGTTTGAACCTTTTTATCTTTTGAACAGAACACATAAAGTATCTTGGTAAACACAATTTTATTCTGTTTGTAGGTTAAATGGACCAAAAAATTTAACACAGAAGAAGCACTGCAGTAATTGTAATTGTTTGGACCTTGGAATCAGGTTATCCCCCGAGTTATCTGAATCCAGTTTCATGGCCACAGTTACTGCCACCAACAGTCTTGGAAGTTCTTCTTCATTTCCATCTACATTCACATTTCTGGACATAGGTACGTTTTATTTCACTTTTTATAGGTGTGATTCACTGGAACATGGAAATCATTTTTTTAAAATCACTCAAATCTTCTGTGGATAGCTCTTTGGACAGAGGTCGATGGAAGTGGTCAGCAGTGCCTTCACCAAGCATAGGTAAAAGACAGAAGTTACTTTATTCAAGTGTAAGGGCCACATGCCTATGATCATGTAGAGATGGCTATGCCAAATGGGATCTTTTTATTGTCTTTACTAGAGAAATGGGTCCCTGACTTCAAACCCCATGAAAGTACCTATTGCAGTAATGCCATCAACTGAAAAGAGGGTCCCAGGAGCTCATTCAGGAAACTCTGGGGAGGCCCTTCTAGGCAGAGGTTTCTTTTTATCTCTATGGCTATTCCCACTGTTCGGATTGTCTACAAGTAGACGGGCTGGACGAGAGCAAACTACAAATAAGATTTATCAAAATATAAATGCATCTTGTTCTGAGAATACTTAGCTTCTACTCTCCTCATCAGTGTGGTTACTGGCATAAGCCAGTCCCAGCATGTATCTGAGCAAATATCATTGGCCCAGTTCAATCAGAGGCAGTTCTCAGGCATCCCAAGTTCTAACCATCCCAGGTGGGACTGGGCTTCTGGCCTGTCTGAATCTCCACCTCACTCTTCTCTGTTCCCAGGGCACCTCTTTGCATAAATGCTGCTAACCATGAGTCTGATCACAGACATTGACCATGAACTTTCCTTCATATTTCTCCCCATCCCACTTCCCATCACTTTACACAAATCATTCATCTCTTTTGTTTGTTTGTTTGTTTTAAGACAGAGCTTGACTAATTTGCCAAGGTTGACCTTGAACTTGAGATTCTCCTGCTTCAGTCTTCCAAGTCACTGGGAGTACAGGCGTGCACCACTGTACCGGGCTTCAAGACCATTCATCTCTAAGCTACCCTCTCTCTCCCTGTTCTTTCCTCTCTCCCTCCATCTTATTGCTATAAATTTTTCTACCAGCATTCTTCCTCCTTAAGTAACCACCACTAGCTACGCCTGTCTTCTTAGTCACGGAATCTTTCAGGTTTGGAACATTGGTTTTCCTTTAATCATTGGATTAAATGGAGTTGATACATGCACTACTTGCCAAAAATGAAGTTTAAATTCGGAGAAATCAACTTTATTTTTTTATAGTTTGCGTCAGTACATAAGGCAATTTCTGATCATGGAGCCTGAATCACACTTTTTTGTTTGTTCTGGTTATTAGTGAGGCCTCTTCCTCCATGGGACATCAGAATCAAATGTTCAAATGCTTTGGGGAGCAGATGTACCCTTCGATGGAGAGATGAGGGGTGGGTGCTACTCAGTCGTCTCAGATATCGGCCCAGTAACAGCAAGTCCTGGAATATGGTAATGATCTTCAAGGGGAAGGGAGAAAACATTACAGTGTTCTTAGTATCCCTGAACAAACCTCTGTCTTATCATATCAGCAAAATATGGAGTTTAAGAATATTTAGGGGGTGAGGTATGATTCAGTGGTAAAATACTTGCTTAGCATATGAGAGGCCCCTGGTTCAATCCCCAGTACCACAAAGGAAAAAACAAAAAAAGAATATTTAGCCTGAGAGTACACACCTGTGATCTATCAGAAAGTCATGTGCATCTCTATTAACAAACATCTGGGTCATGGTTATGAATGTTTTTTAAGCCACAGGAATTTATAAACCAATGTTAATTTTCTGCAATTTACTTTTAGTAAAGAATTTATTTCTCTTTGTTCTTTCATTCCCTAATCCATATTACTTTTTAACATTTTTAAAAAACATATTAGAAAGAGGAATAACTAGGCAATGTCCACAGAGGCTTATGTGAAACTAACTAGTATGAAGAGAAGGCCTACAATTTGATATAATATTAGGCATTACATTTTTTGCAATAAAAATGATAGAATTATGTTTTCTTCCAGAATTTTTTCAAAAGATAATGATTTATAATATTAACAGTGGTATCAGTTTCATATATAGCTGATACCCAAAAGATATAAAATAATTAAAATTTTTTTGAAGCCAGTTCTGTGTCTGTGTTAAAACATTTTATCACATACCAATTTTACCCAAATAAAAAATGATCTCTAGTGTAGAAATTTCTACAGGGCTTTTTGAAAATGAAAGTTTTGAATTGTTAGTCATTTTCTAGCTAACTTCAGGATCTTCCTGGGAATTTGAATAGATAAGTTCTTAGTTCCCAGAGATTTCATTTTTGTTTTTTAAATGGGAAGCTATTATTCAAGATTCAGGTCATGTATGTTCAGTAATGCAGTCATAAAAAGGGTCATCTGGCCTGGCTTCTTTTTTTATGTTAAAATTCTTTATGTAATTTAGTATTAACCATCACTTTAAAAAATTTTGCCAGGTACAGTGTCACACACCTGTAATCCCGGATACTCGGGGGACTGAGGCAGGAGGATTGTAAATTCAAAGCCGGACTCAGCAATTTAGTGAGGCCATAAGCTACTTAGCAAGACCCTGTCTCAAAATAAAACACAAAAAGGGCTGGGGATGTGGTTCAGAGGATAAGCACACTTGGGCTCAATCCCTGTGTTTTAGTCAGCTTTTTCTTTTCTTTTTTTTTTTTTTTATTGTTGGTCGTTCAAAACATTACACAGTTCTTAATACATCATCTTTCACAGTTTGATTCAAGTGGGTTATGAACTCCCAACTTTACCCCGTATACAGATTGCTGTATCACATCAGTTACCCTTCCATTGATTGACATATTGCTTTTCTAGTGTCTGATGTATTCTGCTGTCAGTCCTATTCTCTACTATCCCCCCTCCCCTCCCCTCCCCTCCCCTTTTCTCTCTCTACCCCTTCTACCGTAAATCATTTCTTCCATTTGTATTATCTTGTCTTACCCCTCCTTTCCTCTTATATATCATTCTCACTCCCTTTCCCTCCCACCTCTCATCCCTGTTTAATGTAAATCTTCTTCTCAAGCTCTTCGTCCTTACCCTGTCCTTGTTTACTCCCCTTATATCAAAGGGGTCATTTGGTATTTGTTTTTTAACGATTGACTAGCTTCACTTAGCATAATCTGCTCTAATGCCATCCATTTCCCTCCAAATTCTATGATTTAGTCAGCTTTTTCACCACTGCAACTAAAAGACCTGATCAGCTCATTTGTAGAGGAGGAAAAGCTTATTTGGGGGTTCACAGTTTCACAGGTCTCAAGCCACAGACAGCAGAATCCATTCCTCAGAGCTCCAGGTGAGGCAGAACAACATGGCTGAAGAGTGTGGCAGAGAGAAGCAGCTCACATGATGATCAGAAAGCAAGGAGAGTGACTATACTCCAGATAGAAAATTTATACCCCAAGGCCACACCCCCAGGGACCACTTCCAACGACACCTTACCTGCATTCAATTACCACTCAGTTAATTTGATTAAGGCTCTTATAATCATTTCTCACATGAACTTTTGGGAGACATCTAATATCTAAACCATAACACACACACACAAAAAAAAAAAAAACAAAAAAAAACTTATTTGCTGTTTGTCCCACCATTGCAAAATTCTGTTCTTCAGCAAGATTAACTTGCTAGTTTCCAAAAATGAGTAAGAATATGTGCTCTCTGTCACTAGACACTGGGGAGGGCCAGGGGCAAGGGGAGTTCAATAAGGGCATCATTTCTTCTGATTCTTCTCTAACCCAGTAGGATGACTATTGCTTAAAAAAAAAAATCTATGATATATTTCACATGACTCAAAAAGAAGATTGCTGAATTCCCAACACCTAAAAATGATTAATGTTTGAAAGGATGTACATGCTTATTACCCTGATTAGATTATTACAGATTGTAGACAAGTATTAACATAATATACAAATATTATTTCTCAATTTGCAAAATCTTGTCCGATTCAAGGTTAATGTCACAAATGCCAGAGGAAGACATGACTTGCTGGATCTGAAACCACTTACAGAATATGAATTTCAGATTTCCTCCAAGCTACATCTTTTTAAAGGAAGCTGGAGTGATTGGAGCCAATCACAGACAGCGCACACACCTGAGGGAGAAGGTATGTGTTCGAGGGAAAAGGAGGGAGAGAAGGAAAACATGGGAAGAGGAGGCGTGATGATTCCCTTGGAGTAGAATCTCTGAGGCACTTGTACTGAATCAGAAAATATGATTGCATTAACTAACAGGTCAATTTTGGGGCTGTGCTGGGGCTCAGTGGTGCACACTTACCTGATATGTGTAAGGCAGTGGGTTCGATTCTCAGCATATATAAATAAATAAAAATAAAGATCTATCAACAACTAAAAAACATTTTTTAAAAAGTAAATTTTGATATTAGCTTAAGTGTCCAGAGACAGCGATGTTTATATTGCTAGGAAATTTTTAACATTAGGCAAGTCCTGTTTGCCACTGTCCTATAGGCTACAAGTCTATGACTCGGTAATGTTGGGTTAGACTTATATCTATTTCTCCTCCTATTTTAGTAACTCTGTTATTCCACAAAGCTGTACCCAGTAATTAACCTCATTCCTTTATAGTTAACCTTGATACATTTTATCTTTTTGATCCTCTGAAAATTGAAATGACCCCTATGAGCCATACTAAAAGCTTGAAAGAAGGTAGGCTCAGAAGACATAATATTCTAAAATAAAATGTAATATCTAGCAATTCTTCCTCCTCCAAATATACAGTGCAGCACTTTTTCAAGCCTTTGATCTTTAGTGCTCAGATAAGCACCACCACACCACCCACAGCTGGGAAAAACACAGCAAATGTATTTTTTCGGTCTATTAGACTTTTCTTTTGGGTGATTATTGGAGAAGCAATTTTTTTGAAGTGTAAGCAAACATCTTTTTGAAGAAAAAATTGCCTACATAAAATTTATGTCAATATTACAAGTTTGGGGGCTGGGGTTGTGGCTCAGTGGTATAGCGCTTGCTTAGTACATGTGATGCATTGAGTTTGATCCTCAGCACCACATAAAAATAAATAAATAAAATAAAGGTATTGTGTCCACCTACAACTTAAAAAAATTTTTAATAATATTACAAATCTTTGAAGATACAAGAAATTATCATCTAATTATTCGTTTTTGAAAGTACTCAATTACCTGACACAGTGGCACATGCCTTTGATCCCAGTGACTTGGGAAGCTGAAGCAGGAGGATTCAAGGCCAAGCCTCAGCAACTTAATGCCACCCTGTCTCAGAATAAAAAATAAAAACGGTTGGGGATGTACATCAGTGGTAAAACACCCCTGGGCTCAATTTCCAGTGACAAAAAAAAAGAAAAAGAAAAAGCATCATTCAATTAGTGATATAGTATAGAATTTTTCCTAATTTATGTAAATTTGGCTCAGAGGAAAATTATTGGTATATAGTCCATTGTTTATTATCTGGAGCTTTCATGATTTTGGGGGTGGGGTGTGATATCGGGGATTGAACTCAGGGGCACTCGACCACCAAGCCACATCCCCAGCCTTTGTATTGTATTTAGAGACAGGGTCCCACTGAGTTGCTTATCGCCTCTCTTTGCTCTTTCATGATATTAACGTGAGAAAACCTAAATGCTTGTTTGTGAGACTCGTGGATATGTGTACATGTCAAATAGACTTGTGATCATGTTGCACTAGTTTTCTTCGAGCCCCTGATGGCTTTTTGGTAACTGATGACACTTAGTGATGGTGCTCCGATGGCATTCGAGGTCTGACAGGGGACCTATTAACAGAATACTATACCTAATATATAATTTGTGGAATTATCTTAGTCTTCTTTACTTCTTATACTAAGTACATTTCTTCTGTTTAAAGATATTTTTAAATTAATTCATCCAACAAATGATCATTAATTACCTCTCATTTTCTGAAAAGAAATCTTGTGGTGTTGGTCTTGATCGGAGAGTTATGAAAAGATTTTTCTGTTCTTATTTTTTGAAAGCATTTATCTCTTCAGTTAAAACTTCAAGGCAGGATGGTATGACTCTTATATCCTAAATCATAAACCATTATCATGTCCAGGAGCAGCACCTGGTCCCAGTGGTGAGGCTGCCAGTGGCAGTGAGCTGAACCCAGGTGGCCCCTTATCAAAGTCACTGCAGGCGTTCATAGAGAAACCGAGCTCTGAGACACAGGCTCACCAAGCTCCTCGGCTTCCTTTCCACATCTGAATCTCCCTTTTCTGTGTTCAATCTTTCTGGGGGTTGTCGTAGGGTCTCTGTTCTTGCCCCAAGCCGCGTGGTTTTCGGCCCTTACCACAGTTTCTGTATCGGTTTCTTTATGAAACACCAATTGATGTAAACCTAAAAGGTGTGAATTTTTTTTAACACTTCTTCCTTTTAACCCTTTAAATGTGTACTCATATATAACTTGGCATTAAAAAAAATTACTAGTAAGCTTTTTTTTAGATACTCTCAAAAACTGTGAATGATTGCAACCTTGAATTCCCCAAATGGAGAGGAACCTACTGTCTCTTGGTGACCAGAGCAGCTCCTTACTTCATTTCAGCAGGATGAGGGGGTTCTTCACTCCATATGGACCTTTCTTTTGTTAGTAAGCATTCAAGGTCTAATGGCCTTCCAGGAGAAATGACCACTAAGTAAAGGGTAGAAATAAAGAAACCACTTTCCTGTGTTCAAGAGAACAATTCCCAAATCAATACCCATCAGAGACAGACCTGATACTGGGAAGTGAACAACTGTATTTCCCTTCCAAGGGAGAACATTCTGGAATCTGGGCTTTGAGGTGTTCAGACAAACATGAGAATATGCTAGGTGCTGGGGAAGGTGATCCCTCATCATTCAGAACACCCAGTAGAAGTCTCCACAATGATGAATAAGGTGTTCTTTAGAACATCTTGCCAGTATGTTTCTTTCTGTTCATTCTCCATTTTTTAAAGTCTTATTTACATGTTTGGCATTAATCAACTCTGTTAAGGACAATTAACAAAGCAGATCTAGATAGTAAATATTTTCAGTTTCATGGGCCATATAGTCTCTGTCACAACTACTAAACTTTGCTGCTGTAGTGTGCAAGCCATTATTGACACTGTCAACAAAGAGACCCAGCTGGGTTTCAATAAAACTTTATTTGTGGACACTGGCATTTGAAATATTACATAACTTTGTCACTAAAAATGATCCCTTTTGGGTTGGTGGTGTGGCTTAGTGGTAGAGCACTTGCCTGGCATGTGTGAGGCACTGGGTTCGATCCTCAGCACCACAGAGGAAAATAAATAAAGTTATCTACAACTAAAAATATATATATAAAAGATTCCTCTTTTGGTATTTTTCAACCATTTAAAAGTGTAAAAACATTATTAGTTTGCTATTATACAAAAATGGATATCAGGTTGGCTTTATTTAGCCCATGGACCATAAGCATGTCAACCCCTAAACTAACTATAACCAAACTGGTTGGCATCTTACTTGTCTCTTTGCCTAATGCTTGAAGGGCACAAGAGTGAATGGTTCTTGACCTTTCTGAAGGGACTAACGTGCAAAATTTTTTGCTGGAGGCAAAGATCCCTACTCCCTTTTCTTCAGTTCTTTGAGTCTCCTCTCAGATTAGCACCTATCCTGGAAGAGTGAACACTTTTGCTCAGTTTTTTGACCAGATGGTGACCACCCCAATAGAAAGCAATGTTTGTTCACGAATCCCTCTAAACAGAAACCACTGGAGAGAATGTATGCTTTTCTGCATGGTCAATAGAATATGTATGTCTCAGGAACTATGCCAGGTACTAGGACATAATGGCAACCAGTCAGAATTTTAGGCTGAAGCAATGACAGTTTATCTTGGAAGGCCAGGGAAAGATTCCCAGGGGAGGTAACACCAAGATAAAATGCAAAATCCAAAGGGAATCTGGTGGTTTTCCTCCCTACTATGAACTAAATATTTATATCCCCACGAAAAATTCCTATGTGGAAGACCTAACCCCTGTTGTAATGGTATTAGAATGTGGGACCCTTGGGGAGTAGTTAGATCTTGAGGGTGGCGCCCTCATAAATGGTACAGTGCCCTTAGAAGAAAAGGAAACAACAGCTCACACTCTCTCTGTTTGCCGTATGAGGATACAGCAGGCAGAGGGCTCTCACCAGACACCAGAGCTCATAGAACTGTGACCTTGGACTTCCTCCCTCCAGAACGGTGAGAAATAGATATTTGTTGTTTAAGCCAGTCAGTTTGTAGCATTTTTGTCATAGTAGCCAAAACGGGTTTAGTCACTCCATCTAGAACATAAATCCGACAGGCTCATGGCAGTAGGGAAAGGGAGCTATTTCCTCCATGAAATACTTGATTCTCTTCAGTCTCATGTTCCAACCACCTATTTCTTCATCTCTTCACTTAAATGTCAGTGATATCCCAAACCACAAGTAGCCTCAATAAAGACTTACGTTTTTCCTCCAAAGTGAGATGTTTCCAAAGTGCTTCTGCTTCAGTCTTTCCCACCTCAGTAAACCATCACCTTCCTCGTCATGAAAGTCTCTTTTGCACATGGCACCTCTATCCCAGGTTGTGTGTTTGCCCTCCTCACATATAGCTCCCACAAATACGCCCTTCACTTGTTTATGAGCTTGATAAATTTATATACTATATGTAATCTGCAATTCACTTTTCTCCTTCAGTGCTCTAGCACAAAGCCCTCATTGACTGTAGTATGGAAGAAATGATGTGGGTGAACTAGGACACTTGATTTCCTCACCATCTTCTCATGTTCAATAGCGTCTCCAAATAAAGTCTTTGCATGATAAATCCGAAAGAAAGAAAGAGAGAGGGGAGGGAGGAAAAGAAAAGAAAAGAAAAGAAAAGAAAAGAAAAGAAAAGAAAAGAAAAGAAAAGAAAAGGAACACTCCCTGGACTTGTAATCTGGATGTTAAAAGGTTGTATTTCTTGAAGAAGGGGGAAAAAGATGGAGGAAATACTCAAATATATCCAATGCTGCTGCTAAGCCCCAAGAAATAACAGAAGACATGACTGTGAGATTTGGCAACATGGCCAGCCAGGAGCTGTGCCTGTAGCATGGCGGAGGAATCTCAGCTATTATGGGGTGAGAGCAAATGTGA